GGGGAGGGGAGGAGGGGGAAAAGAGGAAGGGGAAGGGGGAGAGGAGGAGGGGGAAGGGGGAGAGGAGGAAGGGAAGGGGGAGGGGAGGGGAGGGGAGGGGGAGGGGAGGGGGAGGGAGGGGGAAAAGAGGGAGGGGGAAGAGGAAGCAGCAGGGGCCACAACCTACCAAAGAGACACAGGAGCCAACCTGAAAGAGCTCCCAATGGCTAAAGCTGGAAAAATTTGAATAAGATAAGTATTGAATTAAACTCAACGAATAAATAAACATGCACAGTCCCATAATTGTATAAATAAATGATTGAATGAATGAATAAATAGAAGAAATCTTTACAGAAGAATTCTAAATAGTATATGTAGATACTCCCCCTCCAGGAGGTAGAACTTAACTCCCCTTACCTTAAACATGGGCTGGACTTGGTGACTCACTTCCACAGAATAAAGTACGGAAAAGGAAAAATAGTAACCTGACAGTGAAGAAACTCGGCAGACATCACCTTGACCACTATCACAAGTGGAAAGTCGTGTTGAAATCGTGCCTCCCCTGATAGGAAGTGCTGAGGACACCCCAACTCAGTGGTTTTTTCCCCAAACTCCACCAGTCTAGTCATAAGAAAACTTCAGACCAAGCCAGGATGAGAAGGATTCTACAAAATACCTGACCGGTACTCTTCTAAAGTGTCAAAGTTATGAAAGACAGACTGAGAAAACATCACAGATTCAAGGAGTTGAAGGAAACTAAGGAAACATGATGATGAAATGCAATGTGAGATCCTGGACTGGATCCTGGAATAGGAAAAGCAAACAAACAAAAACATTTGTGAAAACTGGTAAAATCCAAACATAGTCTGTATTTCAGTGAACAGTGTTATACCTAAGTTATGTCTTAGATTAGACAAATGTACCAGTTATGTAAAATGTTAACATTAGAAGAAACTGGGTGGAGGGTGTGTGGGAACTCACTGTACTATCTTTGCAACTTTTCACTAAATCAAAAATTATTCCAAAATAAAAAGTTAATTAAAAAGAAAACTGCAAAATAGATTCTTATTGAAGAAACTGGACATCCAAATGATGGTATATTTTTAGCTAATTAAAATCCTGTTTTGGGAAAAAGAATATATGAGATTGAAAAAAAACAAACTATAGTGTTTAGTAACAAAACTATATAGAGTATGATCCTTCTGTGTATCTATGTACATACATTACATATATACAAATAAAATAATCAGAAATGTAAGTTATCAGTGGTTATTTCATGAAAATAGAATTATGTCCTTTTAATTTTCTTCTTTAAATCTTCCTATTATTCTCAATTTTCTATATGAAAATGAAACATTTATGAGAAAACAAGAAACCAAAAGTTTACGTTGTTGTGCTATATTCAAATACATTTTAAATTTTTTCAAATAGCATAAATTACATTTCTAATTATATACATTCTTACTTTATGTAAGTGCCTTGCTGCACGAAAGTCAATAAAACATACTAATTTGCTAAAACCTACAGTTTCCCCACATTATAAATAGATTGCCCAAAGCTCAAGCTATTATTATACATTTTGAACCACAATTAAATGAAATGACATTCTCCTTTCTCTTTCCCTTCCTCTCTCTCTCTATTTACACACACACACGTATATGTAATAATGTATAGTTTCTTGCATTATTCCATACATTAGATAGAGAGATAGATGCATAAAATCTAGAATGACACACCATCAACACTGGTTACCCATTAAGACTGGTGATCTCTTGTCTTGGGGATTCACATTCTACATTCTATATTTCTGTATTGTTCATTTCTTTTTAACAATAAACATATATTACATTTGTAGTAAAAATTAGCAAAGGTACTTTTTTAAAATAATAAAATCTTTAGATGATAAACAATTTTCCAAACTATCTCATCTGAGTATCTCCAAATTCAGACAGTAAAGACTAAGTAACAATGAAATGTTTTAAAATAAAAGCCTTCTCTGCTGTGACGATTTGATGAATTGGGCGCGTTACCAGCTCTCTGAGTTATTGTTAGAAACAAAATCATGGAAGCACTGTGATTTCGCATTCACTTTTTGACTAGCCATATTGTTGTTCAGATTGCTTAAACAGTTCAACCACACATATTTAATCACTGCATAGAAAACTTTGTTCTAGGGAGTGAAAAGCAATCAGGGTAATAGGGGAAAAAATATGGCTTGTCCCAAAATAAGCACAACATACTATTAGATGTCAAATGAAATTGTAATGTATTTTGTAGGAAATGGAACTAAACTCTGATGGATTTTACAATATCCCAGACTCTCTTAAAAGTGTATGGTGCGTGCTTATGTATAAATTATATATGATAGATTATTTCTAGGAATTTTGTAATTTCAAAGCCAACTCTGAGTTCACATCCACATGCTAATATTGTGCAAGCATTTAACCCATTCCTAGAAGAACAGTTTGGATTTTGTGATATGAGTGATCTGGCTTGCAGAGCATTTTTATTAGTTTCTCAACCGACCACTGACCACTTAACTATTTGTAAAATGAGGTTTGGTCCTCATGAAAAACATTCCTTGTGTTTTTTTTTTTTTTTTAACATCCTAGGACTGTCTAAATGATGACCATCCTTCTTGTCACTTATTTCATTGCCCTAAAAGTAAGGAAGAAAGGCATCAACATTTGCATAAGTCACTATTCTGTACCTGGACCTGATTTTGAGTTAGGAGGAAACGGGAGAGGGGTGAATTCTTTCCTCTGTCTAAGCTCCAGGAACATTTAGTTCCTAAGAGATGAATGGGGAATATTTTTTGTCAGTTAATGTATATTGAAGGTATATAAAATGACTGTTGTTGATATGAAATTGACTGCAAAATTACTTTCTGGAATTCAGAATTTACTCCCTCCTTCTGACTTTTTGTTTATACACTTTTCAAGACAAAAAGTCATTTCAACCAGCTGCTGGATTATAAATTCAATCTGGGATCCAATAATCAGATTCCACGTTTCCTCTGTTTTATCTCTCATCACAAATGATAAAGATATTGCAATTGGAATTCAGTTGTGACAGTATAGATGATTAAGCTAAAATCGAATTGGCTTGGCAGTGTTAGCAGAAGCCAAAATTTAATGGCTGCTTTTTTTCCTCCATAGTAAATAAACCTCTGTGATTCACACTCTCAGAACAGAATTCTGTTGATTAAGAAAATTTTTATGATTATACAAAGTCTTATAGTAAATTATTGACTCTAAGAATTAAAACAAAATTCCAAGTTATATTTTTCTTTGTGAACTTTTTAGAATGTAACAATTCTCTGAACTATTATTTAAAAACATAAATGTTTGCGGCGGTAGGATATTTTTAAATATTCAAAATCTATTGATGATTTGAAGGGAAAAGTTAGAGATATTCTAAGCAATATTTGAAATAACTGTATTCATATCAATTCACTTTATAGAATTAGTTAAAAGCAAAACTTATACTGGCAAGCACTGCACAGAAAGAGTGAATATGCTGCCGGTACTGCACAGAAGGGTGAATATACCTACGGTAGCTCTGCTCCTCCGCCTAGGCTGCCATGATGTAGCGTGCTATCGTTACTGTTACCGGGATCCAAAGTATTCCCCATGCTGATTGAAGTAAACCAGTGCCAGAGAACTAGGACATGTAATGAGAAGATATTTCTCTGACAGGCTTTAAACTTGCTATTATTTTTCTCCAGTGTCTCCCTGTGGATTCTTTGGCAAGACCTTACCCCAAACTGAGAGGCAGCTTCATCCTGGCTTATAATTCTAAGATAATTAGAACTGTCCAATTTGTCTAGATTCTCTACAATTTAATATTAAGAGCTAAAAGTAGTTTCAATGATAAAGATCTAATTATGGTAACTAAGCTTCTATTTGTACTTAAAATTTGATCTGAATGATTACAGTTCATCGTTGACCCATTCCATGGGTTGGCAACCCACTAACCAACAGTGTGTAATAAATAAAATCATCTCATTTTCTATTTCTGGTGTGAATAAGTAGCAATTATTAAACTATTGCCCACCATCCCTTGTTTCTGAGCGTCGTGAAAAAATTGTTCACATTTCTAAAAAAGTTTATATTTCATGTTTTCAATGAAATTCCCTAAAATAAAATTAGAACTACTCTTATCCCAGTATAGGCTAGATACTTGTTCTTCTAATTATATATGGGTGAGGATGTCTTTGCTTAGTGTAGTCGAAAACATGGGCAACCCAATTCTCCATTCCAAAGGCAAGGGGCTAACAAGGAATTTGAGACAGACACGAGCCCTAGAAGCAAATGGTAAAAGCTTCTTAAAGTTCACTTCACTATATCTAGGCACTACCATAAAGTTAAGTGAAACTGTAGTAGAATATAAAAACCATTGGAAAAATGAGTATACCCTAAACCCTGCATTCCAAGATCCTTCATTGTTATGTCATGGAAAATAAAATTTGTGGGCAAAATATTGATATATATTTGAAATCATAAACACTCAGCCTCATTTAAGAAGGAAAATAATAAAATCTCATAATATCTCAGGGATTAAAAATTTTACTTTTTTCAAGTAAACTCCAAACTTCTAAGTTAAAAATTTGACGCGTGTAAAGTCATTGATGGAATTTATGTTATTAGTATTACAAGTTACATTGATAAAGGTTTCTGTGATCATTCTTTATAAGTACTTCCCATAAAATCCACTTCAGGACACACAATCAACCAAAATAAGAAATAGAACAAGAACCCAGGGCTAAAGAGTTTTCAGGAAAAAAACACTTTTTTCTCATTTATTCTGTGTAGACACTCACTGAAAGAAGATATACTTCACACTGGATGACAACATACAATAATTAAACTAACATATTATTTATTTCTTCTTTTAGGGGCTGATGTTATCAACTTTGATGGTCATGTTGTGTTACCATATAGATTCAGAAACAAGAAGATGAAAACACTGAAAGATGTCATTGCTTTGAAATTTAAAACCTCCGAAAGTGAAGGGGTAATCTTGCACGGGGAAGGACAGCAAGGGGATTATATTACTTTGGAACTGAAAAAAGCCAAGCTGGTCTTCAGTTTAAACCTAGGTATGTCCTGACTTTTGGCACCATTCTTTTCATTTATTAGTCTTCCCGTTAGTTAAATGCTAATGGTCTTTAATCCTTAAAATGTAAATTGCAAAAGGAGTTCACATTATATTGTCAATCCAGTTTTAATTCATAGTGGTTGATATATATTGATATACTTATTCATTCAAAAATATGTATTAAACACCTGTACTCTGCAGGTACTATACGAGCATCTAGGATACAGGGGTGAAGAAAATGGAGTTCTTTGAGTTCATGAAGTTTATGACACAGTGGGGGCATCAGACACTATATTATCTATTACTATTTTTATAAAACAACTAAATCCAAAGAAATGACTTCAAATAATGATGAGGAGTGTGAAATCAATTAAATAGGTTAATATATAAAGGATATTGCATAGGCAAGATGGGTCAACATTAGAATATGTAGTGAAGAAGGTCCTCCCTGAGAAGATATTCATGCTGAGATTTCAGTGATGACAAAAACAAGCCCTAAAAATATCTGAGAGAAGGTTAATTGAGAGGAGGGAATCACGAAAGACTAAGACCTGACATGCTCAAGGAACAGGAAAAGGCTGGTGTGGGTATTTGTAATGAGTAAATAGGATAAAAGATGAAATCCAAACATTGAGGATTGTTGAAATACTGTAGTGTCCTTTAGGGCATGGTAAAAGGTTTAGATATTATTTTAAGAATGGGAAGCTATTAGTAGGCTTTAAACTCTAGCATCATGATCTTATTTTTTTTAAGTACTGAGACTTCTGTAAGAGAAAACACTTGCATCAACATGAGAGTCTGGTACAGTGAGAGACAGTGAGAGACAACACTGCTTGCTACAGTGAGAGCACTGCTTGCAGAAGGTGGCTATCAGTGGAGATGTAGAGAAATTGATCCACTTGGGAGATGATTCTGGTGGTAAATTCAGTATCATTTGTAATGATTTGGATATGGAGTAAGAAAGAAAGATAATGTATAAGGGATAATTCCTAGGGTATGGCTTGAGTTCCAAATGGACATTAGCACCATTTTCAGAAATACAGAAAGCTTTATTTTCTCCACAGAGTTTCTTCTAATAGAGAAGTATTAGTTTTTTCCAACAGAGGAAGTCTAGAGATCTGTTTGGATATGGTGCATTTTAGTTGCTTATTAGGCATCAAAGTTGAGATTTCAACTAGGGAGTGGCATGTATGAGATTAACAGGAGAAGATACTACATGGAGACTGAAGTGGACAGTGGATAGGAGGAAATACTAGTATGTGGCATCACAGAGACCCGGGAAGGACAAGAGGCGGTCTACTATGGTCTACTGTGTCAAATTCGCCTAAAATGTCACTTAAGAAGACAGAAAACTGAGGTCACTGTTTGGCAACGTTGTGGTTACTGTTGATTTATTCTCAGTGGAATAGAAAGGACAGTAGTTTTATTGTCATCAGTTAAGAAAAAATGAAAGGTGTGGGAATGAATATTTTAAATATTATCAACTAGAAATGAAGGAATCAGAAATGATTTGTTTACTGGAGAATGAGATGAAACTCAAAGAAGGAGTTATTATTTTGTTTTGGGCTTTTGTTGTTGTTTTTAAGTGGACAATCCTAATACATGTTTGGTTGTTGATAATGTAGCTCAGGTTTACTTAAAGTTAAAGGGAAGATCCACAACACAGATACTGACATTCAAAGTTACAATTCATGCAAATCAACAGTACATTTATCCTCCTCTTGCTTGCCTAAAAATTTCGGGATTTATGCAAGAGTTGTTTGAAGGGCATCATATATTCTGTATTTTTTATGCTGCAGTGACTTTAGAATTCTATAAAGATTTTATAGTCTATAAAGATATAAAAGACTTTATAATCTTTATAGAATTCTTTTATAATCTTTTAAAATTCACATGTTAAATGCATCCCAATGGAAAGCTATAAAACTAAAAATTAGAACACAAAAAGAGATCCTGCCTATTTACTTTCCTTATCACTATGGTTGTTCCAACATTCTTAAATATGGCTTGTGTCCCTTATATTAACTTTTATTACTTTGAAAATCAAAATTATACTAAAAATTAAAACTTCAGTTAGTTTTTTTCGTTGATAATACTTGCTATAGTGTCTACAAAGATTTATCTTTTATTATAAAACTTTTCACATTCAAAATCTCTGATAGAAATAATAATTTCTATAACAAAGAAGAAAATTATCCAAAAATGCTGATTATATAATTACACAGAAATATTTTAATTTTTATATTAAAAAATCATAAAATGAAAATGCCTGCCAAAACCTGGGAAAATGCAAATGTCAAATATAGAATTTTAATGTCATTCATGAATAAAAATTCATTCCACTCTGTAATAATACCAAGACTTTAGGAGGAAAATGTTGCCAAAAAATATAAGGAAAACTTGTAGAAGAAACATTATAAATAATCTATAAACACCAAATGCTCAAACTATCTATAAAAGAAATGTACAATAAAATAACAAGATTCCAATTTTTTCAAGTAAATAAATTTAAAAAATGATAGTATCTGTGTTGGTGAGTTATGTGACAAAAAGGATTCTTTGTACTGTTCCTGAAAATATTTCAAGAAAACAACTTGATAATGTATCTTCAGATATTTTAAATTCTTTATATAAAGAAATAATAAGAAATAACTTTAGGATTTAAGTCTAAGGATGTACTTTGCAATATTCATTACAATAACAAAAATTGAAAGAAATAAAGCTTAACATATAGAAATAGGTGGGTATGTGTTTAAAATGTCTGTGAATAATTTGGGGAATACGGTACAGCACTAAATGAGAACGGTAGGAAAATATAATATACCAATATTTTATATTATGTGTATGAATTATATGTATTATATAATTATATGTATATATAATTAAATGTATGTAAATGAAAAATGTCTGGAAGGAAATAGACCATGCTATCTTTAGTGATGGAAATGAGTGATTAATGTTTTACATATTAATTCTTTATAATATTCTCTATTTGTAATATTAAACATGTATTCATGCATTACCTGGGAGAAACATATCCCTAAATAGTTTTTGAAAAAAAGGTTCAGTAGAAGCTAAGAAAGAGGGATGGGGGAAGAGAAACCAGAAAACCAAAAATAAGTGCTTTTTAAAAACACACACGCTAACACACACACACGCACATGCACACACACACACACACTCAGAGCAATTGGATCATATCCAAAGACGTTTATTTTTTCAAACCTTTCTCCTGTTTTTTTAAAAAAAGTGAAATGTACAGAATAGCCTTTAAAAGCCGCTGGGGCTTGTAAGAGTGTGACATTACTATTCTGAAACAAGAACTGATCATATGGCCTCACTAAAAAGACCATTACCATGTCATTATTGGAAAGCAGTTTGTGTAGAGTTTTATTGACTAGAATTTATGACAGCGATGGAAACACATCCACTCAAATATCCGCTGTCACTCTTTAACGCTGTTACCTAAATATCAGGCACGTGAGTTGCTGCTTAGCCTTCTAGTCTAAATATTTAAAGTAATGAAACTGAATGTAGTCTTTCACTTAAATTTATTCTTTCTTTTCTTTCTCCCTGTCCCACTGCCAATGTACATACACAATCATAATCACAATCACAGGGCAACATTTGATTTCATCACCAAAAGGAAAGAAATTTCATCTAGGAAATCCATAGAAAATGTCAGGTATAGGCATATTAGCATCCTAAATGTGAAAAAATGAAAATAATTTAATTCTTCAGTCAATTGTGTGTTTCTCTGATTTCTACTATGCTCTTTATTCTGAAGCAATATTGTATTTTTATAGCATTTAGCTTTGCCTGACCATCAAAAGCAATGCTTGATTAGACAAAATAAAAAATGGTAAAAAATATGTAAACAGCATCCAGAGATGACTTTAGTAAACATTTCAGATTCTCACAACCTTCCACTCTTATTTATAGTCTTGTTGCTATGGAGATCTTATTTCAAAACTGGATTAATGCTGCATATATAATTTTGCAGTTTTTTATTTTAACGTATAACTTGGGTAAACTTTCCATGACATTAAATATTATACTGATTATGGCTTTTGGAATCAAAAAAAAAAACCAACTGAAAATTGTCATGCCATGTTTTCTTGACCAAAAATAATAATAATTAAAAAATTAACGGGTAACATTTAATGAATGTTCACTATATGTCAGGAAGTAAGTTCTTTGCTTGTACTAATTAATTTAATCCTTACAGCAACCTTGTAAAGCAGGTACTATTATTCTTCCCTTTTTACATGTGAGGAAAGAGAGGCCCAGAGAACTGTCACCTTGGCCAGGATCATGGAGCAAGCCAGTGGTGGAACCAGCAACAGAATCCAGGCGCTCTGGCCCCAGAGCCCATGGGGCACTGACTTTATAAAGAATCTACCAAATTTAGCAGAATTCATGGCACAGTAATTGAAAAAAAAAAAAAAAAAAGCTCATGCTTTTTAAGGGAGCAGACTTTTTTCCGTCTTTAATAGCTTTTATGTAGTTTAAACATAAAACTGTTTTTAAGTGTGGTTACATGTTGGTTTTCCCATGTTAACTTCAATAGACAGAGCTTTAGAGAAACGTCAGCCCTTGGTGTTGTAGATGAAAGGTCTACTTCGACATAGAGTTGTGATGGCTTTGCCTTGTTTCTTTTCCACTCAGGAAGCAACCAGCTTGGCCCCATATATGGCCACACGTCCGTGAGGACAGGAAGTCTGCTGGATGATCACCACTGGCACTCTGTGGTCATTGAGCGCCAGGGCCGGAGCATCAACCTCACCCTGGACAGAAGCACACAGCACTTCCGCACCAATGGGGAGTTCGACTACCTGGATTTGGACTATGAGGTAAATTTGAGGATGTGTAAGTTGTAACGCATCAAGTGGCTGCCTCAGTTTCCTACTGTCTTGTTGTATTTTTGTTAATCATATACCTTTCTATACCATTTTCATTTTATCCTCCAAAGAAAACTTAACTTACAACTTGAAAACCTAATTCGTTAATATGTCGTTTTATTTATTTCTAAATTATTCATAATGAGTTCTTAAAACATGTTTAAATACTTGGTACCAAAATAACATACTGATATATTTAAAGAGAAGGACCATTTATCATGTTATCATGGCCATTTAACGAAACCACAATAAATTTAAGTTGTAATCTTTGGTAGTTAATTATAACATAAATCACCTGTTCTTGATGATGTACAGTATATAATGTACATAGGATTGTCTAATATTTATTACAAAATATTGAATAAGAAATCCTGAGTTCTGGTGTATGTTAAGTCATTGACAAGTTCTGTTTTCTCAGATATCATTGTCATAAAAGAAATAAAAATACAGAATATTTTAAAGAGATTGTCCATAAATAAAAATATTTTTTTACCTTCCAAATGATCAAAGATTATAAAATAATCAATGATCATATTGTTGCCATAAAAAATATATATTCTCATAATATACTGGTAGGCATATCAAGTTTTTTAATTATTTGGAGAGCAGTTCAACCTTAAAATGTCCATCAAAAATGTTAATCATAAATAGGGATGAAAGTTCTGTAAGAAGATGTTCATCACTGGGGCACCCCTATGAGTTTGCTGTGCCATCTCCATGTGCCTTGGCCCCCAGTTTTGAAATTGCAGATATATACATATACATATATGTATGTTACTGATATCCGTACGTAAATCTTTCAGAACATAGAATGTGCTTTACCATAACATAGTAAGTGGAAAAGTCAGGATTTACAACTATGTTATTTTCTTTATATGTTTAAATAGTTTCTAAATTTTCTGTAATATAAATACATTATATATGTTTCTAAATAGAAATTTAGAATGGAATATGCCATATAAACTTTGATATAGAGACTTTATTAACATTAAAATAAGTCTAAGGTTATCAGGAAATAATTACTCCTCCAAATATCTCTTTGAAGTAAAAATGATGGTTGAAAGGGAAAGAATGTGAAAATCCCTAAAATTTCTATCTTCTGTAAATTAATATGAATCTTGACTTATGTGGCTTATCTCCTACTGTAGGAGAGAATTTAAAGATGAATTATTCATTCTCCATTAATAAACTTTGAAGTATCATAGAAGAGGTGAGAAATCCTGGAACATTAGTAATGGGCAAACACAATTCCAATTTTCAAAAACAGAATTAAAAATTTGGGGTTATAGACCCTTTGAGTTTTTGATGAAATCTATGAATATTCATGCACACACAATGCTTTCTATGGGGTCAGCAGTTTCATCGACACTTCGAAGCCCCTCTAGATAGAATACCATGTTTGAGAACCTCACCTGTAGACTAAAATGCCTGAGACATATTTGTTAGAGAGACACAGGAAAAAAATTTTAATTTACTAGAAAGAATCAGGAGAGACTCAACATATTTCTCTTTGTAGAGCTACTACCTGATTACTTTCCTCAGATCCTGCAGTTATTGGCAAAAGCTGCAATGAAAATGGTTGGGCCTACCTTTATATCTCAACATGTTTACCTGAAGATAAAGGGATTCTCTTGGCTTATTTGTTTAAAGAAAATTAGGGACTATAGTAGAATCGGTCTCTCAGTGTTTTTGCACACATCTCCTTGCACGAAAGGGCTCATTATGACTAACAAAAGACACACCTGTTACTCAGGAAATTGCAAGGATTTTAGGAGCTCTGTGCCAGGAACTGGGAACAAAGACCAAAAATATTTATTATACTACACCATTATTCAATATTTCCATCCTGTAGACAAAATAAACATAAATAACCTCAAGAGCATACACGATAGGAAAATGTAGACATGAGTTCTGAGTAGTTATTAATTTTTTGTTTAATGTATTGAATTTAAAGCTTATATAATTTAATTTTTAACAATGACTCCAACAATCAGTTCTCATGAGCCAGTATTGGCAGGATGCAGCACACTGCTGCCAGTGGTTAATTAAATAATACCTAGCCTCATTCCCGGGGATATATTGATACATCATAAAAGAAGCAATAGAAGACAAGTTTGCTCCTTTGACATAACTCAATTTGGGCATGTCTGGGGGGGAGAAGCCTTAACCGTTCACTTCACTGACCTCTCTGTAGCCTGTTAAAAGTGAGCAAGTCACCATTGCAGTCAAGCTGTAGCTACATGGTGACCTGAGAAGCGTGCAAGGGTGTACAGAGGCAGTTCACTTCATTCTTCCTCCTCCAGCCAGTGACAACGCAGGGCAGGACAGCAGACTGGTGTTTGTCCTGGCTTCTCTCCCTTCTTTATCCAAATGCCAAGGTACACCCACTTTGGATGTTATGCCCTTGCCTTTGCCATACAGCTCTGCTTGGAAAGTAGAAGAGTGCCTCCCCCTTGCCCACTGTAGAACTGGGCTAGGATTTTAGAAACCGGTTGAGATTTTGTAGAGAATCAACGGCATGAGCTCAAATTGGAGCCATAGTCCTGGGTTTGAATCCCTTTTTGCCCCTAACTGGTTGTGTGACAGTGGTAAAATCACATTCCCTTTCTATAAAGTGAATATAATAGCACATTGCTCATAGGGTTATGTGAGGAGACAACAGGAAGTAATAGAAATCACCACATATATCAGTTATAATTAATAAGACTGAACATAACAGATACATGTTTATTCCTTTCACATAAAAGGAGCCTACAGGCAGGTAGCCCTGGGCTCAAATGGCAGCATCATGGTCATCAAGACCACAGTCTACTTTTATCCTGCTGCTACTCCATCCCCTCTGCAAATCACTCCAAGATCGTCACTCACGTTCCATTTTGTATTCCAGACAGTGCAAAGGAAAGGAGTGAAGAAGACTGTGCCCCCCCATCCCTTTAATTATAGTTCTTGGAGTCACACACAACCCTTCCACTTAAATCTCATGAGGCCAAAACTTGTTCAAAGAGGTTGGTAAATGCCATGTATTGTCTGGGGAGCCTGTGCCTAGCTGAAAAGCAATGGTTTTTTCTTAAAGAAGGTGAGAGAAAGGACACTCAGAGGTATCTAGCAGTCTCTGCCACCCTTTGGAAACTCTTGATAGCTAACAAAAAAAAGGTCAGTGCAATTCTTTTTTAGAGTCAACATTGTCATTGAATGGCAGCGCCATTCATAAGGCAATTGTGTGAGTCATAGCAATATCAGATTATTAATCAAACAACTGCAACAGTTTTCTTTTTACCATGAGAATGGTTACAATATCACAACGTGTTTCCTTTTACTGATGAGAATACATAACAAGAAACAAGTAGTGAGCACCTAATATCAAATGATGAGTTACATTAGGAATTGGGATTTGAACCCACATCTCTTAATTGTAAGGAATCTGGTAAATTGAGCCTGTGATGCTTCACCAGGGTACCTTCTATAAGGTGGGACATGAGCCAAAGGTTGTTGAAAACAGAGAAACCATAAGGAGTGTGTGAATCATCATCTGGAAGGAAAATGAGAGTCCCCCCGTAAAGAAACTACGCACCCAGAGAAGGAATAAAACAATACTTTTAAATAGCATTTAGTAATATTATTCAAAATGTGATGCTGCATGTCATTAAGGCTGGAAGATTTTATTACTGGAGCAGAAATTGATAAAATTGATAAAATGAATTTTAGATGGGAAATACAACACTCCATTAAAGTATCATTAATTCCTACCTTTGTTATTAATTACATGTATATAGCACCTGATAAGTTCAGTTCAATGCCACTTGAAAATATTTTCCTAATCCATTTTAGAATACTCTATTATTCATTTTGTAGTTTCCTTATTATTTTTTATGTATTCTTAGTTTTTCTCTTTTCTTCCCATGTTTAAAATCTAAGGTAAATGATATATATACAGCTAACCAGTATTAATACATTTAATTTTATTTTAAGTGAGGTTTTTGGTTTTTTATACTGTCTCATAAACCATCATTAATTTGTGCTTTGTCCCTAAAACCAGTTAAGCATTTAAAATGCATATACACACTACTATATATAAAATAGATAAACAACAAGGACCTACTGTAGAGCACAGGGAACTATATTCTATATCTTGTAATAACCAATAATGAAAAAGAATCTGAGAAAGAATATATATATGTGTATAACTAAATCACTTTGCTATACACCTGAAACTAACAACATTGTACATTAAAAATTTAAAAATGGTTAAAAAATAATTTTAAAAATTTAAATTTTTTTAAAATTAAAAAGTAAAAATAAAATGCCGAAACATAAATAACAGAAGCATAATTTGTGTCTTCTAAAACCCAAAGATCTCTGCTTTATATATAAAATATGAAGTCTTGACATTGAAATATATCTTTCATTTTCAAAACTTTGTAAGAAAAATTGGTAATTTAATAATAATTAAGAGAAATATATCTGGTTTATATATCTTGATATTACAGCTATGATTAATAGATTCATTCACTACTAATTCTTTGTTAGCAGTAAATGTCATTGGCAATACATAATTAAGTATAATTTTGTATTATATGAAATTGATATTTAGTACTATAATTGGATCAAAAATATGTAGAAAAATATATACTCTCTTTTTATAGGCAATGATTGCTTAAGAATCACAGCAAGGAGCATTGACCTTATTCCTTAGGACCTAGGAGACCTATAATATCTTTAAACCTGTACTTCTCAAATCATGGCCCCCAAATCTGAAGATGTTCCTAATCAATGTTGCAATTAGACTTTTGGAACTATTTTCTGCATTCAAATAAGACCAATGAATTTTTTACTCTAATGGTCATTAGACTATAATGTCTAAATAGGCTGAATACAATTTTCCTTGCTTTTGGCTGAAGTTTTATAAACTTAATATATTAATGCTGGTTATTTCATAATGGCTAGAAGCATTTATTGATAGTATGTCTTTGAATGATAAGCATAAAAATGTATTCTTAATATTACTTAATGAAAGATATTTGCTGTGTACAATCTTTTAAAACAGTCCCAGGAAAATTGATAAACTGTCTTCTGTGTATTGAAATGCTAGGGGTTGTTGCTATTTTCTTGTTCAAGTTACAGTCTAATTTTCAGAATTAATGACAATTAGCATATACTTCAATAACAACATAATTTAATATGCAACAGACTTTGGAGGCAGAAAAAAATGTCTGTATATATTGGTCGAGGTAAAGATAACTGACCTTGGATCTAATAGTAGTTTTGTCTAATTTATTGTAAATGGTTTTTTTTTTTTAAGTTGAATACAGTATGAATGTTGACATTTCGTCTTTTTTTTTCCAAAGATAACCTTTGGAGGCATACCTTTCTCCGGTAAGCCAAGTTCCAGCAGTAGAAAGAATTTCAAAGGCTGCATGGAAAACATTAACTACAATGGCATCAACATAACTGATCTCGCAAGAAGGAAGAAACTAGAACCCTCAAATGTGGTAAGGTTTTTCACCCCCAAAATATTGGTTCATAGACAAATCAAAGAAATTTTATTGTGTCTGGACTGTTAATAAACAACAGCATCATAGCATTTATCGTCAGGCTTGTGGTGAGTTCCACCATATAAAACTAACTTTAAGTTACCTGAAGATATGGAGAGATTGAATTTACTCTGAGAATAGATACCAGTGTTTGAGTTAAATGAACCAGAAATAGACAATAAGTTTGATTCAGATGGGGCCCAGAATTTCAGCCCCAGTGTTTCTGGATTCCCCATGGCAGAGGAACAGGCATACCTCATCGCAGCCTTTCAGCAGCCCTTATATCGGCAGCCTCACGTTTCCAAATGTCACAACGTATATAGCTCTGCATTTCTTGATTATGATGCAATTCAATATTTTAAAAGTTTTAAAACCAGGAACTTTATTATATTTACTTCCATGTTTCCAAAGTTAATTCACTCAAATATGTAAAGAAATAAACTTCTTGTCCAAGCTAAACATACCAAATATTATGCAATTAAATAAAGATTGATTAGATTGGATAGTGAAATCTGTGACCCAGAAGCTCACAGTGGTCTTCTCTGACTCTGGTGTGAGTGTTTCCAGGTTGAACTATTTCAAGAAGGAGAGTAGAAATCAAAGAACATGCTAGCACACTTGCGTTCCTATGACACCATATAGGATCACTACAAGATATCAACTTAAAAATCTGGTATGTGAGTTCCTTATGGCTCTGCAAGAGCAGGAGTTTCTTTAATCCCAAAATGTAATTGAGAAGAGCCTGGGAATCCAGAGGTCCATATATTTGGGAGCCAGCAGGAGTGGATAATATAATGAGTATTTGTGCTATGCTCTAAAAGACTCCGCTCTTGTTAACCCAAACTTGAGTCTAGGGTTTTCATAAAATTACTGGACAAATGGAAATGCTGAATGAATAACCAAGAGTTCAGGTTGGATATAAGAAACTATAAAATAATTTAATGCAAAATTTTTCTTTACTAATTATCTTTCTTAAAAATAACGATGAATTTATACTAATAGTTAAAAATTGAACTTTGGTGAAATTTTCTCATAAGATATATTGACTGTAGAGAAAAATAATAATAGCTCCATGTACAGGCAAAAGGCACTGTACAAGACCTGTTACATTTATGGTAATCTAAGAACAATACTACAAGGGAGATATTGTCATAAACATTTTGTAGATGAAAACTGAGATTTAAACTGGAAAAATAACTTTCCAATCAACATAGATTGTGGATGCACAGTATCCGACCCCTGAGGTCATGGTCTCTTTCCATGCTGTGTTATTTCTTATCTAGAGCAGTATTTATACATAGGCTATTTTAAGTTTTGGATAAAATGGCATCAGAGTCCTTTTGTTTCTTCAGAAATTGTTACTTAAGATAGAAGGGTACAGAGTCCAAATCGTCATAATACCTTTTCCATTATTTATACCTTTGAGAAGTAAAGTGTTATTTCTGCCCAAACCTCTCAGTTGGTCCTCATATGTATTAATTAGGTACCGAAACTACAGAGAATTGCACTCCGGGGGACTCATTCCAAAACCAGCTTTAACCACGAAATATATATTGTGCTTATAAATGCTATTTTAACTTGAATAACAAAGACATTTAGAAAAGCATGAATTATCTATAATTATGTTTGTTAAAATAGAATGAGCAAACATAAAAAAGACTTTGAAACAAAAATATACCTATGTATTAAAAGTTTAGGCAGTATAGAGGCAAGCCGGACATTTGCAAGCAGCTCTACAAAGGCAAATATTTACGTAGGAAATTTGCTTTCAAAGATGTCAGGTGCTGATATTTCAGTGGAATTGACTCAGCACTCATCCTGCACCCCTCTCCATATACACACCCATTTCCTCATTATACGGTGGATCCAGAGTCAGCACCATTACTCAGAAAATACCTTTAACTTTGCGGGGAGACAATCCCCACAGCACAGGCATGCAGTCATTTATGACATCTCAGTTATTATGCACAACCAGTTCTTTTCATCGGGAAAAGTAAGCATTTAAAAATAATCATCTGTGAAGTCACAGCACAAATTTAATTTGAATATTAATTCAGAGAGACAGCCTAGCTTAATGTACTAAAGTGGAAGAGCTATGCATCTAGGGACAAATACGCCGTGTTGTTAAACAAACAAAAAATGAAGTGAAAACGTCTCCAAATCACATTCCTCAAGATACGGTGGGTTCAAAAAAAGATGGAAAGGGCTTCCCTGGTGGCGCGGTGGTTGAGAGTCCGCCTGCCGATGCAGGGGACGCGGGTTCGTGCCCCGGTCCAGGAGGATCCCACGTGCCGCGGAGCGGCTGGGCCCGTGAGCCGTGGCCGCTGAGCCTGCGCGTCCGGAGCCTGTGCTCCACGACAGGAGGGGCCACAGCAGTGAGAGGCCCGCGTACCGAAAAAAAAAAAAAAAGATGGAAGAATATGTAGATTTTCATATCTTTAAAAGGAAGGTACTTAGATACTAGAATATAAAACTCAATGTATTTGAATAATAAATCAAATTTCCTTGTACCAAATAGAGGGGGTGTGAAGGGGAAGGAGGAAGTTTTAATTACTGCAAGTTTTCTTTTCCTTTTGTACATTCATGTCACTGTTTCCACAAACATTAATGTGTTATATATGCACACTTCATGGGAATTTATTTATTTTATAAATTTATTTTATTTTTGGCTGCGTTGGGTCTTCGTTGCTGCACACAGGCTTTTCTCTAGTTGCGGCGAGCGGGGGCTACTCTGCATTGCAGTGCGTGGGCTTCTCATTGCAGTGGCTTCTCTTGTTGCGGAGCACAGGCTGTAGGCGCACGGGCTTTAGTAGCTGTGGCACACAGGCTCAGTAGTTGTGGCTCACAGGCTCTAGAGCGCAGGCTCAGTAGTTGTGGTGCACGGGCTTAGTTGCTCCACAGCATGTGGGATCTTCCCAGACCAGGGCTCGAACCTGTCTCTCCTGCACTGGCAGGCGGATTCTTAACCACTGCACCACCAGGGAAGTCCTTCATGGGAATTTAAATGAGATTTTTGAGTTGAATAACAAAATAATCTGAGATAATCACAATCATGTTGATGCTAAATAGTTAATATTAATTCATATATATTAGGTATTGAGATAAAACCCAAGAGCATTTGCCCCATAATAGTTTAATAAATAGCAACCGAATGATCATAGTTCCCACTGAGACCAGATTTATATGTTAACAAACATTTGACCAAGGCCATCCAGAAGAGGACAAAGGCATTCCCTCCCTGGCTGATGCAGCATCAGTTGTGGGGGAGGGAAAAGCAGCTCCTTGCTGTCTTCAGAAGGTCCAGTGGTCCACACCCAAGCCCACCACACAGGGACACATCCATTCCATAGTCAGCCCATCACATCCGGCTGTCGGTCTCTCAATTCCATGCTGGATGGTGCTTGTACGAATCCCTCAACTTGGTAGCCAACTGCCGTACCCTGTTAGCTATAGCAGGAAGGACATGCCGAGGTATCCAACTGCTGCATCCGTGTCACACTGCTGCACGTGAGAATTTCACACAGGCTCAAGTTCTGCTTTGAAATTTGTAAAACTGTCGCTTTGTCTACTGTCTTCCATGGATGCTTATTTTATTCTACACTTTCCTTAAAGCATGCCCTTCTGTTTTCCAGGGAAATTTGAGTTTCGCATGCGTGGAGCCCTACACGGTACCTGTCTTTTTCAATGCTACCAGTTACCTGGAGGTGCCTGGACGGCTTCATCAAGACCTGTTTTCGGTTAGTTTCCAGTTCAGGACTTGGAACCCCAATGGTCTCCTGCTTTTCAGTCATTTTGCGGATAATTTGGGCAACGTGGAGATTGACCTCACTGACAGCAAAGTCAGCGTTCACATCAACATCACGCAGACCAAGATGAGCCAGATAGATATTTCCTCAGGTCAGTGAAATCTATTCAGTGTTCGCTCCTGAAACTATCGTGATTTCCACAGCTTAAGTTCTGTTGTTGCTGTGTTGGTGTCACATGCTCATGATTATGTTTGGAATCAGACTTTGGAGGTACTCTCTTAGCTGCGCTGAGTGCGGATTGAATGAGGGAAACAGAACCTCGCTGAGATGGTGAGGGTGGGCAAGGAGGAAAGTTGGTTGAGACTGTCTCAGAGGACTGAAATCTTCCATTTTTTTTTTTGCAAATGCTAGTTCATTTTGAATAGAGCAGTGGATACTCCTCTAAGTTAATGTTATATGTTTAAAAACAAAGAATGTTTATTTGATTAACATAAGAAAGAGTAGTTTATCTTTTGACTTTATGGGCATTCAAATACCTTTTACTATTAGTAATAAGACTATTGATTTAATTATGACTTTAAAGGTATATTCTGCTTGAATCAAAAGCTCAAAGTGATCTTGCTAAATTTGTATAACGTGTCAGAAAAAAAGGGGGGTGAGTACAAACAGGAATGACAGGAGATATGTATCGACTGAGGGCAGACTGGCCTGGCTAAGCAGAGTAATTTTTAAACTTGACATGGTAGTGGTGTGATAAACTGAGACTTAGGTAATATTGTTGTTATCTGAACAAACTTGGCGACCTTGGAATATTCCTTGATTATGATGGTGCAAAGAAAACTGAGATTGCAAAGTGAGATGTCATAAAGAGAATAATGTATGATATGGGACTGATAAATAATTTTAAAAAATCACCAAATTTCTCTAGATGTTTCTTGCAATAGGTGTTTTAAGTAAGTACTTATTTTAAGTAAAGAACTATTTAGAAATGGAAGACAGAAGGAGAAAGAATGTTTCCTGAGCCCCTTGCAGATGTACCAAATACTAAGAGAGGAAGTTCATAACAGAAGGCTCAACTGTGTGACTCTGGACTCTGATTTCTAAATATTCCGTATTCACTCGTGACACCATATGCACACACCAGACACAGTTGCTAACATGTTGTATGATTTGGTCCATCTCATTTCTCTTCTATGCTATCAGCTCCTTGAAGGCAGAGGCCATGCCCCACATATACAGCAGCACCTGTAATGTAAGAGGTGCTCCAGGAATGCTTGAATTCAGCACTGTGGCTCCTTGAACACAGAATATCTCCTGCTCAAGGATAGGTATCTTTTCATACAGTAGGCTGTGTGCTTCTGTATGGCCTGGCTTTGTGGACTCTTACTGAAAAGGACTCAAGGAAGACAGGAACCATTATGTCACAGATGTCTCTGAATTACAGAAATCAAAAGCTATAGTGAAATACCTAGACGTTTACTTTTTCTTTCTTATGTTGTTAGTTTTGCTTTCTCCCTGAATGTCCAGAGTCAAAATGATTGATCACCATATTCTAGCACTACTTCCCAGTATAAATCCACCTGGAGAGATTTAGAACAAATAGAAATTATCTGGAGAGACCAGAATAACACGTAAAACAAATACACATACAAATATTGACCACATCTGAGAAATTCCCCATTAGATTCTGTTATGTTTAATGATTCATTTCTAATGCTTAAACACATAAAAATATAAGGATGAAGGCCTCCCTTCTGGCATTCACTGAGCAAACCCAACCTCTTGGTGGTTTTCCACATAACAGGAACCATTATAATTAAAAGAATAGAATCTTAAACATAGTGATTAATAGACATTTACTAATTGAATTTGGTCTAATTTAGGACTCCAAGATACTCTCATCTGTTTTAAACTGTGTTTATTAAAATATAAAAGAACAAAGGAATCCAATATGCAATAACTAATTTACCTTAATAGATTTGCTTAAATATGATAAAAGTAGACTTCAGATGTTTTTGACAATTTAGCTAAGAATCTGTGCAAATGAAGGAGAACAGATGTGAAACCCAAAATTTTATATAGTCTCACTCTTATATAGTCCAAAGAAAATATTTATGTTTCAAAGATTTTCATTTTTTCCCATACATGGAGCACACTAATATTTGGTTTAACAAAGGGAAATCATTCTGTATTATATATACCCTATTCATTTATTGTTGAAGTATAGTTGATTTACAATACTGTGTTAGCTTCAGGTGTACAAGAAAGTGATTCAAATATAGATTCTTTTTTAGATTATTTTCCCATTATAGGTTGTTACAAGATATTGGATATAGTTCCCTGTGCTATACAGTTAATCCTTACTGTTTAACTATTTTATGTGTAGTATTGTGTGTCTGTTAATCCCATACTCCTAATTTATCCCTCCCCTCCCTTTCCCTTTTGGTAACCATAATTTTATTTTCTATGTCTGTGAGTCTATTTCTGTTTGGTAAATAAGTTCATTTGTATTATTTTTTAGATTCCACATATAAGTGATATCATATGATATTTGTCTTTTCTCTGACTTACTTCACTTAGTATGATCATCTCTAGGTTCATCCATGTTACTGCAAATGGCATCATTTCATTCTTTTTTATGAATGAGTAACATTCCATTTTATATATGTACCACATCTTCTTTATCCATTCATCTGTCAATGGACACTTAGGTTGCTTCCATGCCTTAGCTATTGTAAATAGTGCTGCAATGAACATTGGGGTGCATGTATCTTTTGGAATTAGAGTTTTTGTCTTTTCCAGATAAATGCCCAGAAGTGGGATTGCTGGATCATATCGTACTTCAAATTTTAGTTTTTTAAGGAACCTCCAAGATTCTTTTCCATAGTAGCTGTACCAATTTACATTTCCACCAACAGTGTAGAAGGGTTCCATTTTCTCCACACCCTCTCCAGCATTCATTGTTTGCAGACTTTTTGATGATGGCCATTCTGACTGGTGTTGTTTTGATCTGCATTTCTCTAATAATTAGAAATGTTGAGCATCTTTTCATGTGCCTATTGGCCCTCTATATGTATTCTTTGGAAAAATGTCTATTTAGGTCTTCTGCCCATTTTTAGATTGGGTTGTTTTTTTGATATTGAGTTGTATGAGCTGTTTGTATATTTTGGAAACTAAGCCCTTGTTGGTTGCATCATTTGCAGTTATTTTCTCCCAGTCCCTAGGTTGTCTTTTCATTTTGTTTATGGTTTCCTTTGCTGTGCAAAAGCTGATAAGTTTGATTAGGTCCCATTTGTTTATTTTTGCTTTTATTTCTTTTGGCTTGGGAGACTGATCTAAGAAAATATCGCTATGATTTATGTCAGAGAATGTTTTGCCTATGCTCTCTTCTTGGAGTTTTATGGTGTCTTGTCTTATATTTAAGTCTTTAAGCCATTTTGAGTTTATTTTTGTGTATGGTGGGAGGAAGTAGTCTAACTTCATTGATTTACATGCAGCTGTCCAGATTTCCCAACACCACTTGCTGAAGAGACTGTCTTTTCTCCATTGTATATTCTTGCCTCCGATGTCAAAGATTAATTGACTGTAGGTGTTTGGGTTTATTTCATTGATCTATATATCTGTTTTTATGCCAATACCATGCTGTGTTGATTACTTTAGCTTTGTAGTATTGTCTGAAGTCTGGAAGGATTATGCCCCCAGCTTTTTTCTTTTCCCTCAGGATTGCTTTGGCAATTCTGGGTCTTTTGTGTTTCCGAATAAATTTTAGGATTATTGTTCTAGTTTTGTGAAAAAAATGTCATGGTTAATTTGATAGGGATCACATTATATCTGTGGATTGCTTTGGGTAGTTTGGCCATTTTAACAATATTCTTCCAGTCCAAGAGCATGGGATATCTTTCCATCTCTTTGAATCATCTTCAATTTCCTTTACCTTGGAGGTGAAAGTCTTATACACTGAAAACTATATCTACCCTATTCTTATCAACAGCATGAGCACTGAAGAATGAAAGTCCTATTTTACTTCTTTTTTGAAATAGCTTGGTTGCAAAAATGTAGGAGATAACGAAAATCTAGAAGAATAAAACACTAATAACATGTTGTTGTTCACACACACACACACGTGTGTGCTACTTCTAAATAATAAGTTCTGTAGTCCAGGATGAAGGTAAGTCATTTGGTTGAAAAGTCATCTTGGAAAATATTGTTCTTTGGTGATGAATTCAAAATAAATTCGATAAGTTAGAGACTATTCAATATATTATTCACCCTCTCGCATTTTTTCCCTCTAAGTTGTGATTAATTTTTAAGTCTCATTAGTTATTGACTATGACTTGTAAAAATTAGTCAAACTCTGAGTAACCTTGAATTTGCAGAGTGGGTTATCTCTCTGTGAAAATATTTTCCAAGTTGCAACATCAACTTTCATAAAACATTCCACTACATTTATTTCTATTTAGAACAGAGGTCACTGACTGGTGAATATATATTTATGCATTACCTTTAACTAGGAATAAGTGCTAAAGAGAAAAAAAAATGCTGAAAGGGTCAAATGGATAACATCTGTTCACTCTGAGAATAATTTTCATTTTAACTTTCATATCTACTACCCTGGCAAAGGTGGACCTAGAGATGATTTTGTACACCTAAATTGTTTCTAGCTTTATTGAGGTGTGATTGACAAATTAAAACTGTATATATTTAGGTTGTACAGTGTGGCTTTTTTAAAGATGTACAATGTGATGTTTTAATATACATGTACATTGTGACAGGATTACCACAAACAAGTTAATTAATACATGTATCACCTCACATAGTTATCTTTTGTGTGTGTGGTGAGGACACTTAAGATCTCTCTCTTATTTTATTTTGTATTTAAGTATACTATGTAGTATTGTTAAATATAATCACCATGCTGTTCATTAGATACCCTAGAACTTTTTCACCTCCTGACTGTGAAAGTTGGTACTCTTTGACCAATATTCAACAAGCCCCTGGCAACCACCATTCTACTCTTTGATTCTATATGACTTCTAGTCTTTTAAGATTCTACATATAAGTGAGGTCATCCAGTATTTGTCTTTTTTGTCTATTTCATTTAGCATAACATCCTCCAAGTTCAAATGATTTTGATCAAAACAGTGAGAAAAT